CGGATATTTAAGCAGTGCCTTTTCATACACACAACAGGCATTATAACGGAATAACACGGCGCTGTAATCAGTGCCAGAATACGCCATTAGGAGAACCCATTACGATTTTAATATTTAATAGCAGTCCCCCTCTGAGAACTAAGCGGAAGGGGGGAGGGAGGGAGGGGGGTTATAATGAGAGGGAGGGAGGGAGGGAGGGAGGGAGGGAGGGAGGGGGAGAGAGAGGGAGGGAGGGAGGGAGGGATGGAGGGGGGTTGTAATGAGAGAGAGGGAGGGAGGGAGGGAGGGGGAGAGGGAGGGAGGGAGGAAGGGAGGGAGGGAGGGAGGGAGGGAGGGAGGAAGGGAGGGGGAGAGAGAGGGAGGGAGGGAGGGAGGGGGAGAGGGGGAGAGAGAGGGAGGGAGGGAGGGAGGGGGAGAGGGAGGGAGGGAGGGGGTGTAATAACAGGGAGGGAGGGGGGGGAGGGGGTGTAACGAGAGGGAGGTAAGGGGTGTGCGTGGGAAAGTATTCTTGTTATTGCATTTTTATATATTTCATTTTATATATATATATATATATATATTGCATTATGTTTACGACTCCGGTTGGGATGGCTATAGGATGTCTGTCCAGTGGAGTGTCTATTTCTCTGTTTGTATGTGTGTTTGTCTGTCTATCGGGTTGTTTGTCTGGCTGTTTGTTTATGTTTGATGAGGGAGAGGGAGAGAGAGAGGGAGGGAGGGAGAGAGAGAGAGAGAGAGAGAGAGAGAGAGAGAGAAAGAGAGAGAGAGAGAGAGAGAGAGAAAGAGAGAAAGAGAGAGAGAGAGAAAGAGAAAGAGAGAGTGTGTGTATGCGTGTGCGTGTACGTGTGCGTGTGCGTGTGTGTATGTGTGATTGGATGAATGAATAAATACGTGAATGGGTTCTTCAGTGTATACATTAACAAAAGATGAAGTCGATTGATGTATAATTGGATGAGTTAACGAAGGAAGGGAAAGGCCAGAGAATAAATAGAAGAATTAATGAAAATGGCGATAAATTAATGAATGATTAGATACATAAACGAATAAATGGAAGGATGAACAAATAAAGAGAAAAAATAATAATCAATTAATGAACGTATTAGAGAAGATATCAACCAATGAACGGATAGATTAATGACTACCTAATGAAACAAAAATGAATATAATTGGATGATTTAGCAAGCGGACCAACATTCACCTCTTCAATTAATTAAGCCATACACACACAAAAAAAATAATAATAATAAAATAAAATATTCACAAGCAAGAAATAAATCATTAAACCCTGAATACGTTTATATGGGTCATCGAACGACCCATTAGAGTCCCTCGGTAATGAGGCTGTTGACCCCTTCCCTAATGGGTGATGACAACATGGATCATTAACAGTAATAACAATAGCAACAATGGTGGTGATAGTTATAGTGATGGTGATGATGATGGTGATGGTAATGGTGATAGTGGTGATGGTGATGGTGATGATGATGAAAATGGTGATGGTGATGAAAATGGTGATGTGATGATGGTGATGCTAATGATGATGATGGTGATAGTGATGGTGGTGATGACGGTGACGGTGACAGTGATAAGAATGATAATGATAACAACAATAATAATGAGGCTGTTGACATTTTCATTAAAGGGTAATGGTAACATGGATGATAACAAAATAGCAACAACGATGATGATGGTGATGATGATGGTGATGATGATGATGATGATGATGATGGTGATGGTGATGATGATGATGATGATGGTGATGATGATGGTGATGATGATGATGATGATGATGATGATGATGATGATGATGATGATGATGATGATGATGATGATGGTGATGATGATGGTGATGATGATGGTGATGATGGTGATGATGATGATGATGATGGTGATGATGATGATGATGGTGATGATGATGGTGATGATGATGATGATGATGATGATGATGATGATGATGATGGTGATGATGATGGTGATGATGGTGATGATGATGATGATGATAATTACAATAATAATAATAATAATAATAATAATAATAATAATAATGATAACAACAACAACAACAGCAGTAACAACAACCCAACATAAAAATAACAAAGTTACCAACAGCCTCAAACCCTAACAAACAAAGCAAACAAACAAACCCGCCAACAGAATCCTGCTCAAGTGAAAAATAAAACAAGAAATCTAGTCCTAAAAATAACAATGATACGAAGTCAATAACTATCAATAACGAACAAAGAAACACTATTAACACCAACAAAACAATAACAAAAAAAAGAATAAACAAGAGAATAATAAACACAACAAAAACAAACAAGAATAAACAAAAATAAAGCAAAAACAAACAAAAAGAAAATAAACACTACACCAAAACAAGACAAGGCCAGACAAAAAGAAAACAAAACAGATCAAACAAAACAAGAACACAAAGAAAACATAAACAAGAACAAACAAAAACAAATCATCCAAAACAAGACCACAAAGAAAACATAAACAAGAACAAACAAAAACAAATCATCCAAAACAAGAACACAAAGAAAACACAAACAAGAGCAAACAAAAATAAATCAAACAAAACAAGAACACAATGAAAACATAAACAAATACAAACAAACAGAAGAACAACAAAAACAACCCCAGCAGCGCGCGCGCCCTCACGCACCGACTTTGCAGAGTCCAGCGACGATGACGAAGGTGGTGACGGTGTAGTAGACGCCCACTTCGTGCCACCGGAAGGACATGAGGTGGATCCCGCCCTCGTGCTCCTCGCTGTGGCAGCTGCCGTTGCCGTCGTCATGGGCGCTGGCGTTCCCGTCGCCGCCCGCGCCCTCGCCGCCTGCGGGAGGGATGGGTGGGCGTGAGATCGGCTGGTGGAGATCGATTGGCGTTGTTATTGTTATTATTTCTGGTCTGTCTACTTGCCCTCTTGTGGGCCTGTTTGTTTACTTGTCTGTCTGTCTGCCTTCTTGTCTGCGTGCTTGTCTGCTTGGCTTAACGTTTCCGTGTGTATGTGTATCTATATCTATATCTATGTAGGCGTCTGTTTCTGTCTGTCTGAGTGTCTGCCTTCCTGTCTGTCTGTCTGTCGGTCTGCCTGTCTGTCTGTCTGTGTCTGTCTGTCTATCTAGCTGTCTGTCTATCTATCTATCTATCTATCTATTTATCTATCTATCTATCTGTCTGTCTGTTCGTCCGTCTACCTGCCTGCCTGCCTGCCTGCCTGTCAACCTGCCTGTCAGCCTGCCTGTCAGCCTGCCTGCCTGCCTGCCTGCCTGCCTGCCTGCCTGCCTGCCTGTCAGCCTGCCTGTCAGTCTGCCTGTCAGCCTGCCTGTCAGCCTGCCTGTCAGCCTGCCTGTCAGCCTACCTGTCAGCCTGCCTGTCAGCCTGCCTGTCAGCCTGCCTGTCAGCCTGCCTGTCAGCCTGCCTGCCCGCCTGCCTGCCTGCCTGCAAGTCAACTAACCAGCCTGTCTGCCTGCCTCCATCTTTCTCTCTTTCTCTCTTTCCCTCTCTCCTTTCTTCTCTCCCTTTCCCTCTCCTTGTCCCTCTCTAGCATCCATCCTTTTGCTTTATCCATTTCTTCCTCCCTCTCCCTTATTTCCTTCCTCCCCTTCACTCATTCTCACTTCTATTTAGGGCACAAAAGCTACGTGGACCGAGGTAGATTTCCTGAACTGAATGCAGATAATACATAAGGTCACGTTATATCATAATGTCACTCGCAATATGTTTTCAAAGTGCAAATGAACTTTATTGCAACAGTTTCTTTTCTTTTTGTTAGTGTACATAAACTCTGTTGGATTAAAATATACGATTTCTTAATGCTGGAACAATTATTTTAATGTCCTTACTAACCTTTTTGTCTAAATATTTCGTTTGTTAATAATACGATACGATTATAATGCATCATATAGTGTAGCGTTATGTGATTGTCATGTATTTTTTTTTACAGTATAATGTTATATGATTTTCTATTCTGTTTTATATAGTGTTATAGGATCATCATGCACTATATTTTAGTGTCATATGCTTCCATATTGTTTCGTGATGTAAAAAATAGATAAATAAATAAAAATAACGTTGACTACGGCAATTTCTAACGTGGCTCAACTGTCATTGAACATCTGACACGACGGGAAACCAAGGTAGTTAAGGTTGCCTGTCAAAAATAGACATGAGACAGCAAATATCTTATTGTCAAGAATAACAGGATATTGAAAATGACAGTTTTTTTTCAGTGACTCGGTAAATCCTACTCGGTAAATCCTCCTTGTCATGACACTCCTGTACAGAGAGAGTCAGTAGGATATTTATGACATGACCGAATGACGAGATTCTAACATTGGGAAAGGAGTCTTTAACCTTAGAATGATTTGGATATAAATTACGGATGAAACTATAACCAACGAGAATAATAGTATTTACATAACAAGGTCGTAAAGTGTTATTTGATGATTCAGTCTTACAGCGACCTTCAGCCATGATACTTGAGATTCCTTCACACCATTTTGACGACTGCTTTCAACCACACAAAGGGGCATTAATCATGGCTGATAATGTGTCGCCCATGTTGCAAGCACAGGATGCGCCGTAATTATATCTGGCGGCAAGCGAATGCCATGTAAATGTCACCTTGGCCACAACGCTAATTCATTCTCTTAAGCTTTTTCTCCTTGTCTCTCTGTCTCCGTTTCGGTCATTATCTTACTCTCTCGCTACGTCAGAGACTCCCTCTCGTTGTTATCTCTTTCTCTCTATCTATTCCTTTCTCCCGGTCACCTATTCCTTCTCTTCTTGCATTTCCTCTCTTATTACCCTTTACATCTTCCTCTCACAATATCTTCATCTCCCTCTGCCTCTGCCTCTCCCTCTCTTTCTCTCTCCCTCTCCCCCTCTTTCTTTCTCCCTCTCCCCTTCTTTCTCTCTACCCCTCCCCCTCTATCTCTCCCTCTCCCCCTCTATCTCTCCCTCTCCCCCTCTTTCTCTCCCCCTCTTTCTCT